TAGATTAATTAGACGTGGTGAAAATATACACTATGAAACATACACTGGTTCAACAGTTTTTATATATGCAGTCCAATGACAGAGGTTGCATACTTTACATTGTGTCACCATTTTCACTATGTTTAGCATTCTTTTGTCAATTTGATGTCATATAGATAACTCTTTAAAAGCACACCGTTCTAAAGGCAAACATCTTTATACATTGTGCTAAATTGTTTAGTTTAAGAATGACTTCATAGGATAGTTTTGGTCAAAGTTTTAAAAATTGTTTCCAGGCCATTAATAGGGGAGTGCAGCTAGTCTCAATGGATCCAGTAAGTCTGATTTCCATGAGGATTTGAAATTCTGTTCCCCATTTTTCTTCTTTTTGATCAGGGTCCATCTTTTGGGTCCTTACATGGCATACTTTTTTCTTTATTTTTTATTGTGATTGGGTTGGAAATTTACAGAGCACATTAGTTTCACATTCAACAATTTATATATGTTGTTTTGTGACTTAGTTGCAATCCCCTCAATGTATCAGCACTCTCCCCACTTCCTCCTCTGGTTCCCCATCCGTTTATTCCTCTCTTCTGCCCCTTCCAGGCTTCTGAGCTTTGCTCTTGGGCAAATGCTGCCTTCCTCATCTGGCATAGTTGATTGTTCCGAGGAACATGTTCCTCACGGGTGGAATTGTTCACCCTGTCGGCTGAAGGGATGGCTGAAAGGTCATCTCCAGGGGTGAGGTCAGCTTCAGCTTTGAAGGGTGTCTAAGGGTCATAGTCTTAGAGGTTCCACCAGTTTCTATCAGACCAGTTAAGTCTGGTCTTTTTTATGATTTTGAATCTTGTTCTACATTTCTCTCCTACTCTTTCTGGAACCCTGTATTGTGATCTGATCAGAGTGGTTGGTAGTGGTAGTTGGGCACCCTCTGGTTCTTCTGGTCTCAGGCTGCTAGAAGCTGTGGTTTGTAGAGTCCATTAAGTCTTTGGACCAGTTCTGTCCTTGAGTCTTTGATTTTCTTCACTCTTGGCAGGGAGAGAGCAACCACTGCATCCCAGAAGGATGCTTACAAGCTTTTAAGACCCCCGTTGTTACTCACCAAAGTAGGATGTAGAACATTGACTTTGTGGACTGTGTTGTGCCAGTTGACCTAGATGTCCCCAGACACTATGGTCCTAAGCCCTCAAACCCAGTGACTCAGTTCCTCAAGATACTTAGTTATGGCTAAGAAGTGTATGTATGGGAGCTCTGGTAGCATAGTGGCTAAGGCACTTGACTGCTAACCAGAAGGCTGGCGGTTCAAACCCACCAGCCACTCCTCGGAAGGAAGGTTGGGCAATCCTACTTCCGTAGTGATACTGCCTCAGAAACCCAAGGAGGGGTCGCTATGAGTCAGGGCTGACTTGATGGCACATAACAACAACAACAACAACAAAGAAGTGTATGTAACTTTGGCCCCTGTATGCTCTGCTACATACTTGGACATATTTGCTGCACATACAAATACATATGTAGAAATATCATCTCGCCATGGCATTTATTATTATTATTATTGTGATTTGGTGAGAGTTTACAGAGCAAATTCAATTCCTATACAGCAGTTCATATATTTTGTTTCATGACATTGATTGCAATTTCCTACAATGTAACAGCTCTCTTCCCACTTCCTCCCTGTAGTTTTACCTTTTCCTTGTGCCCTTCTGTGCATTCCTGTCCTCTGAGCTATCTCCCTGTGCAAACACTGCCCTTCTGTTCTCCCACAGAGTGTATCTACCTGAGTCAATGTTCACCCTATATGCCTGTCTATTTTTTGGGTGCAGCCACAGGAGTGAGTGCAGTTCCAGACCTGAAGGGGAACTAGGGGCCATAGTCTGGGGGTCTCACCAGGCTAGATCGGATCAGTAAACCTAATCTTTTTTTATGTTATGGGATACATTTTTAAAGAATGAATGACAATTCCTTGGATTTCTCAAAGTGTTTTACCACAAGGCCCTAGGAGTTGTTGGCCAAAATGATAACTATTCATTACTGTGGTTAGTCTTGTGGGGAGTAAGGGAAGTCAAAAACTGGGCATCCACAGAAGATGCCTGGTTTCTAGGTGTGGGGCACTCACATTTGTAAGATGCAGCTGCTGTCATTCAGCTAGCCTACCGAAAAGAAATCTCTAAGGCAGTGGTTCTCACATTTTAGTGCGCCTAATAATTATTTAAAATATAAATTCCTAAGAACAAGCCCCATAGATTCTGATTCAGAAACTCTGGGGTGTATGTAGCCCAGCTATCTGAATGTTTAGCAAACTCCTCAGGGGTTTCTAGTTTTACCTGCTGTAAAACTTTTACTTTTTGTTAATCTCACAGTTTTAACCTTGCTCAAGAGTCATAAAGTCATAATCTCTGGTTCTAGCTAAAGAGGTTAATAACAAGTAGCTGGAGCATAGTTGAAGTCTTAAAGCAAAAATAAAGTTGCCTAGCCTGCTAAAGGCCTTATATCCCCCAAATCCTTGTCTTTTAAAGGATAATATTGTATGAACAAAGGTATGTACATTGTTTTAATGTTAAAATGGTAACACTTTTTTTTTTTTTTAACCACCTATCCCCTAAAGAACCCAAACTGAATACCACTGCCATGAGTTGATTCTGCCTCACAGGGTTTCCAAGGCTGTAAATCTTTATGGAAACAGGCTGTTTGTCTCAAGGTTCTCCCACAGAGAAGGTGGTGGGTTGTGAACTGCAGACCTTTTAATTAGCAACCAACCAAATGCTTTAACCACCAGGCCAGCAGAGCTCCTAGAGAAAGAGAAAGCCCTTGAAAATACAGTACCTCAGCCTTGCAGCTGGATCATGGCACAGGTACCAAGACTGCACACAAAAAAAGTAACATAACTTTTGCAGCTGAATTTTATATAGCTAATATTTTTCAACTGATGGTGTAAGTACCCCAAGGGGGCTGTTAGAAGAATGCTTGAAATCTTTTATTTCACACAACAAGCACAGCTGTTGTTTGATGAAAGGCCCACCATGTAGGTCAGTCATTTTAAAGGCATTTCTATGGAAGTTTCTTATTTAGAAAACAGGAAATGGTAGGCAGGCCATCCCCCGGCCTACGAAAGAGATCTATTCCTATGTCTTTAAGAATTTATAGGTAAGTTGGAACGGGTACAGCTTCTCAGTAAGGTACAGCTTTACTTTGTTGTTATCTGCCGTCGAGTCGGACCCGACTCATAGTGATCCCTCCTTGGGTTTCTGAGGCAGTATCACTATAGAAGTAGATTGCTCCATCTTCCTTCCAAGGAGTGGCTGGTGGGTTTGAACTGCCAGCGTTCTGATTAGCAGTCAAGTGCTTTAGGCACTATGCTAGGAGAGCTCCTAGCTTTACTTTAGGGCAAGAAAAGGGTCAAAGGCTTTTGAATAACCTAAAAGCTGCAGGTGCAGCAAGTGAAGGTGACTGTGATGAAGAATTTGTTGAGAAATAGGGGTTTGGTCAGTCGTTCCAAAGTGAGGCAAATGTACCTAGCATTAAAGGGGCAATAGGAGTTGTCCATAGTCTGAGGGTCCTTCATAACCCTGGAGGCTGCCTGTGTTCAGATTGTCTTCGCCGCCTCTTGTACCCTCATCAGGCCCTTTGCATTCTCTTTTTTATGCTGATGGACCTGATTCCAGGAGTGGAAGAAAGTGGGAGTTGAGCAGCTGCGGCTTAGCACGGTAGACATGATCGGAGTCCCAACCTTGGCTAACCTGCAGAAAGGAGTCCAGTTTGTTCTCAAGTACCAGTCACTGGGCCAGTGTGTCTATGTGCACTGTAAGGCCGGGCGTTCCAGAAGTGCCACCATGGTGGCAGCGTATTTGATTCAGGTAGGAAATGTTTTTCTGGGCTGGCCCCATTCACAGCAGATTTCCAGAACTTTAGCGTGGTCTGTCAGTGGGCCTTGCCAAAAGGAGCTGTCCTCCTAGTTTCAGGCTGTTGGGAGGTGGTGTGGTATCATGGAAAGGCAGGCTGACCTCTAGCTGGCAGTATGACCTAGACAAAAGTGCTTCACCTCTCTGCTGCTGTTTCCTTAAATTAATTGTGCAACTTAAATGAGAATGTATGTCAAGCGCTGACCTCCGACAGGCATTCAAAACTTAGAGCTGTTGAAGACTGTCCAACATGAGCAAAAGGATAGAAGCACTTGTTACGTCACATAGCAGGAAGCCTAGTAGTGTAGGTAATAGTCCCGATCACTTAAGCTGTGTAGTACTCAGGTTTCTTCAAGTCTTTGAGAGTAAAGTTCTGGACATTAATTTCTAAAAGGGGATCTAAACTGGATTTTGCCTATCACATTATTATTGGCAGATGGCTTGCTTTTCAAAACCTCTGGGAGGGGCCCAAGCCCACTGCCATCAAGTCAATTCCTACTCAGTGACCCTTTAGGACAGAGTAGAACTGCCCCATAGGGTTTCCAATGCTGTCAATCTTTATGGAAGCAGACTGCCTCGTCTTTCTTTCATGGAACAGCTGGATTTGAACTGGGGACCTTTTGGTTTACAGCCTAATGCTTTAGCCACAGTGCTACTAAAGCTCCTTTTGGGAGGGCCACATGCCCTCTAGTCCATCATTCCCTATTGTTTTAACCTTTCCCAGCCTCATTTTCATTACCTGCCTGGCCTCTGTAGCATTTACTATTTCAGGTAGGTAGTTTAAGGGGAAATGTCAACAGCCTGACCTTGTTTGTATTCTGTGGATGGGTGAGTGTGTGGTATGGCCAACAGGAAGGCATTGTTATAAGGACTCTGTGCTGGAAACAGGGTTCGAGACTTTTTGGACCAAATGGGAATTGAATCAGTAGACTAGAAGTCTGTAACTTTTTCGTTCTATTGATTTCTTCTAAACCATCGAGTATCCTTGGGACACAAAGATGACCCTCCTGATTAAATAAGAACAAGTTTGTAGCCATGGTGACAAGTTGCATAAAAACACCTGTATACTCTTTCTTGGAAACTCTTATAAACCAACAGCCCAGTCCAGAGAGGAAACTGAGTAGGCCTAGGTGGGCTTCAGTTTAGGATCTCAGCTTTGTGTGTTCAACCTTCTTCTTCCAGGCCGTGGCAGAGCAAGAACTGGCTTCTCCACCCAGCCCATTGCATAGCATCGTTGAACTACGGGGCATAGATTTAGACTCTCAAGAAAATGGACTTTTTAAAAAATGAAATTCTGGGAGCCCTTTAGCACCTACACATAAGTCAGCTCATAGGTCAAGGGCACCTTAACACCTACTGCTTTCTCTGATTTCCAAACCCTGTCCTTCAGGTGCACAACTGGAGTCCAGAAGAGGCTGTACGATTCATCACCAACATCCGGTCACACATCCATGTTAGACCTGGCCAGTTAGAAGTTCTCAAAGAGTTTTACAAGATTACTGCAGGGGCAGCAAAGGATGAGACTGGTCATACATCAAAGACATGAAGAATGCAGATTAGGAAGAACTCAAGACAACCCTACTTGCTGAAGAATAAAAAAGTTTAACAGGACCAAAGGGGCATAAACCCAGACTTGACATACCAGAAATGTGCTAAGTAATGGATAATTTTGCTTCCTTTGTCTTCATTTTCCTGAAGTAACTGTTTAATGGCTAGAGAGATAATGGCATGGTCGCTATTCACAGGGTAAGGAACATGGGCCAAGAAACATGGGCCAGTGATAGGGGTGTCTTATTTTTGTGAACAGGGTCAAAGAAATAATAATTTCAACAAAAATCTACCATGTACCTAGTGTTGTGCCTAATGATACTTATAGCACCGTAACTCAGAGACAATTGACACTAGGCAAGTGAGGAGAGACACTCAGTCCTGCCTCACTGCCACTCTCAGGACCCTGATCTTCACTGGCCTCGTGGGGCTCTTCTCACGCTTTTGGAGCAGTGATCTTTTAAGTAGAAAACAAGTATGGTATGAAATCAGTATTGCTGACTTGGACATGTGTCAGTGTATAATTCATTTCCCTTAAAGTCACCCCTTCAGAATTTAACACAGACACGCGTATCCCTTCCAAAACTTTTATTTGTATGAACAGTTCTTGGCTCTTAACTTACAGCTTTTAAAAGAGCACAGACTTTATATATAGAGAGTTTGAAAAAAGCAATTTCTGCTATTAATCAGAAATAATCCTTTCTACTTCTTTCTGGCTTATACCTCACACAGGAATGGAGTAAGCCAAAATTAAAACCAAAGTATACACTTTCTGACAGACAGACGAGAAAGCAATAGAAGGAATGTCCATAGAAGGAATGTCCGGGGAGTCGACTCTTGCTGGTGAAATACACCTTCAGCTTAGTCCATTCTCCCAAACAAAGCCTGAAGGACAACTCTTAACATATAATTACTTGTGAAACAAAAGGTCATCAACTGGCCACAGCAGGGTACATAGATAAAAGGATCTGGGCATCTGCCTGTGTCTTGGGACAGAGTTGCTTCTATTTAACACTGATCAGGTAAGGAGGGGAGGCTAAGGTCTGGGAAGAGGCTTGCTCTAAGCAGTCTGGATGCGGGCACAGGGAAGGGCAGCAAACAGGGTGGCCTGTTCTCGCTCAGGCAGCCAGCTGAGCAGCAGCAGTCTGAAGGGCCCCAAACAAAACCATGACAGGTTCAGGGACGGGCTGAGGTGCTGCCTTTCCTATTATGTGCCAAAAAATAACACAATACTCTGAAGTGGGGCCTAGGGACTTTAAGTTTGGATGGGTGGGTGCTGAAAAAGAGGAGGGCACAGGAGTCAGTTGCTCTCCCTCCCCTCCCCCACAGCCTCAGGCCAACACAAACTGCAAATTGGTTAGCAGCACCTTAATGCCCCTGGTGACTGTGACAGCTGAAGTGGCAGGGTCAAGCTTATAGGTGTTGGCATCCCCCTTTTTATACCGGTCCCGGAAGACATAGATGCTCCCGTTACAGCTGGCGATCTTCCACAGAGATGGGGCAGAGCTCCAGGCCTCGGGAAGGCAAAGCCGGGTGAAGCTGTCTAGCAAGGGATTGTAGCACACCAGGGAGTCCCCTTCAGCCACGATGAACACCAGATCCTTATGCACGGCTGCATGCATGCGGCCTGCGAAGGGCAGCACATAGGGCTTCACGTGACACTTGTCTGTCTCTGTGTCAAAGCACTGGATGAGTCGGGACGGTTTGGTGAAGAAATCCAGGTCATTCTCCTCCCCCCCTAGTAAGTAGATGATCCCGTTGAGGTTGGCACCAGCTGCCCCTGACACAGCCACCTCGAGCTGGGTTGTCTCTGTCCAGACGTTGTCACCTACCCGGTAGTAGATCACTGCGTTGGACAGGGTATCCTGCAGTGTCTTGCCACCCAGCGAGTATATGGCATCTTTCCCAGGCACAGACACCAGAGTGTGCTGGAGCCGGTCTCGAGGCAAAGGTGCACACCACTCCCAGTCAACAGTGGCATTGTTGCACTTCCACATGCGCCGCGGGATGGAGCCTCCCACCACATAGAGGTCTCCGCCGTGCTTGCAGGCTGCAGTGATCTGGTGGCACAAGCTGTTTTGGCCACTTACACTGATGGAGTCATCTTCTGCACAGTGCAAGGACACAGCCAACGAATGAGTACGAGACGACTCTTTCCCAATCAGGTAAATGTGCACGTTCTCGCCAATCTCCTGTCGACAAAATCAAAATTAGATGTTCTAGGCTAAGGCTGAGCTGGGATGCACATCCTTGAAAGACCTGGACCACACACTTGTATTCTGCTCTAACCTACTCCTCTCTAGTTACTGTGTGTCAACCCGACTCTCCTCCAGTCACATTTGCATTCACGCTGGGGCTGAGAACATTGGATTTATTCCTGCAGTTTTTTTTCTTTAAAAAAAAGAAAAAAGCTGGTACTTCAGACCAGGGCTTTGAACCAGTTCATTCTAATCCAATCCTCTGCTGAGAATTTGTATTTCCACTCCAGTTATAGAGTCAGCACCTACATTTTAACAAGATGCCCAGATTATTATAAGATCATCTGTTTGTCTGGAGGCTTATTTTTTTTAAGAATCATTTGTGGATCTTGTTAAAATGTAAATTCTGATTCAGTCAATCTGAGGTGAAAATGCAAATTCTCAACAGGGGGTTGAACCAGAATAAAGTGGTTCAAAGCCCTGCTTCAGAAAACAAACAGCCTTTGGATTTCTGAGGTGGTAAATCTTCATAGAAGTAGATTGTCCCATCTTCCTTACACAGAGTGGCTGGTGGGTTTGAACCACCAACCTTCTGGTTAGCAGTGAAATGCCTTAGGCACTGCACCACCAAAGCTCCTTTGCTTCAGACTAAGGACTGTTAATGCAGTGATGAAAGTAGTTTTCTCAAGGAGCTTTGAAGCCCAGAGGTTGGTGGCTTCTGGGCTAATAAATCTCCTCAGCACACAACATCAAACCAGACATGACATTACTCTACCAGCTATCAAAGAAGAGGCCAGGCTGGAATGTACAAAGACTACAAGGTCAGTTGCCTTACCTTCAAACTAGTCCTGAGTGACTCTGCAAAAGCCTCCCTTTCCTCTTTGTTAAAATCAATCCAGGCTTCTATTGCCTCTGTTGGACGCTGGGAACACGGAACTCCATCTGTAGGAATCAGGACAGGTATGGTTAATAACAATCCAAGAAGAAACACACATATATGTCAATGTTATTTGTAATTTACTTAGATACACATACTATTTCTACTTCGTGTAACATATATATAATACCTTTTATTTATATATTACATGAAAGAATGTAAAATGAAAAAGTGAATCTGAAATTGCTTTGTTTTTTCTTTTAATAATGGATGGCCTGATATTCTCCCATTTTCCATGGAAGCAACTTACTAGGCTGCAGAACTTACAACTAAGTATGGCTGTAGGTCAGGATTTTTACCTAAAGTTGGCCCATCGCTATAAAAGTTTATTTCAATATCTTGACTCACTCTCAGTCTACTTGGGTAACTAGTGCCACAGGTACCTGCAAAGTACAGGACAGATAAGAACCTTTATGCACAGGAAAAACTAGATTGTAAAAAAAAAATAGCTCCTTACTGCCTTCTGTGGGTTGGTGCTGCTGCTTTTATTGTTCTGACTTCTTCCTCTGGAAGGAACACTCATCTCTGATAGCACTACACTGAATCTCAACTCAACCTCTCTCAGCAGGGATCTAAAGTCCTACCAGGACACCTGAGAATTCCGTTCTCTAGAACTAGAATAGTGTCTGATCATATCCAAGTAGGTGGGTATGAGTACCCTCTCCCTCAACTTACCAGAGATGATATCAGTGAGTAGATGGTGGGACAAGTGGAGAAATTCCTCTGTGCCTTGCAGCTGGGCCAGGTGGGTCTTGGCACAGTGCTTGGCAGCAGTGTAGAGCTCAGGATCACTGTGTCGATCTGCCAGCCACATCACCTGAAGGCAGTTTCCCACTTGCACTGTGCGGGCCAAAAACCGAGAACATTCCTCAAAGAGAGATGTCAACTGATACATGTCTGACACCTCATAAATTTCCTGCAGTTCATCAGCTCGGAGTTTCACAGTCCCATGGTAGATATAATCCACCAGGAGCTGGAAAACAGACTCGCTGACATCCTGCAGCACAATCACCCGGTTGTGGGCCTCCTTCAGGTTGGAAGTGAACATGGACCGGAAGAAGCAGCTCTGAGCTGAGAGGACCAGCCGGTGGAGCTGAAACTCTCTGCCCTCCACTGAAATGGTGACGTCAGCAAAGAGCTCCTCCTCCAGACACAGTTTCATAATACCCTGAGCCACTCGGCCTGAGTGTGACCGATCTTTGAAAGTGTAGTTCACAAAGTAGTTCTCATCCATGGACGCTCCAGGCTCCTCTGGTGATTCCATGGTGGCTGACTTCTCTCGCTGCCAGCTGTCTGCAAAGCAATACCACCCTGAGTAACTTAGGGATTCCACACCCATCATCTGTGAGTTCAACTGTCCATCTCAGGGAAGGAGGGAGAAGGCAGAAGGGAAAAGCCAGAGCAAAGTGGGGCTAGCTTGGCCTTAGTGTTGATTCTGCCAATGAAGTCGGGGAACTTCCTTCAACCAAAACTGGGTTCGTGCCATCCCAACCCCAATGAAATAAAAAAAGTTCCTACTCTTGGTGTTCCCTCAGAAAATACGAAGCATTCCTTTCACTGAAGTAACAAAAGGCTTGGGCTTTAGGTAAACACATAAAAGCAAAGAAAGGAAGCCTATGGCCTTACTAACCAAATATCTATCGGCAGAATACTAGTGCGGCTCGAGGGCAGCGGAATCAGACAAAAAAGACTACCACATCCTTGTGGCCAGGGCCTCTCCTCCTCCTCCGTGGAAAGTCCAGCTCCTTCACTAAGACGCTTAGCTTGCAACATCTAGCAGCCCCCCACTTTCCCTCTTCTGAGCTGCTATCCTTCGGCTTCTCCGCTCCCCCTGATGACTTCTCAAGGCTCCGTCCCAGAACTCGAGATAGAGCCCAGCCATCCCCCGGCCGGGGTACGAGGAGACCCACTGCCCACTAGTGTCCGGGCTCCACCTGGAATCGCCTGGGAAACGGTCGCCAGGGAAACCGTTCTTCCCCTTCCCGCCTGCCCAGTTCCGAAGCTTAGCTGGAGAAGTGGGGGGAGGGGAGCGGAACGTAGAACGCAGAATCCCTGCTTCTTTTCCCTCCTCTCACCCGTTTGGTTCTTTAGGGACCTCCGTTTATCTCCAACCTGCGCCATATCGAGCTAGCACTGAGTTTACCTCACCGTTTCCCCACCTGCTCGTTTCGCCTTCTCACCTGCGTTCCCTCCTTTCATCCCGGAGGCCGAAACCCGGAACCTCTGCTTCCGGCCCTCTGCGTCCGCCCGGAAGAACATCCGCTACACACTTCCGCTTCCGGCCCTTGCCCTTGGGGCTCCGTCTCCTGTCGGCTTTTCTTTGACTGCTGAGTCTGCATCCGGGGAACATGGCAGCGGCGAGGGGCTGGTGGCGGGGGCTCGTGGGAGCCGCGGCACTGGCCCGGGGTGAGCAGGGGACATCCGGCTGAAACCGGGGGTAGGAACAGCGGTTCGCTCGGTGTAAGGAGCACCTCAGGCCTCATCCCGCGCCTCTATGCCTTTATTTCCCTGTGCAGGGGCCAGGCGACCCTCGGCGCTGTTGGTGCCTGTCAGGAGGGAGAGCGCTTTGGCCGACACGCGCCGTGAGTATGTGCGGGCTGCGCTCGTCTCTAGACAGCTGGCGGGGACCCCTTCATTCACTTGGTTCGGGATGCCCTTCCCTGCGTTCTCCCGGCAAATAACTGCTTGTCCTTGGAGACTCGACTGCAGTGATCTTCCGTCTGCAGGCAGAATCGGGTCCTCCCTGCGCTCTCAGGCCTCTCTGTCATGGCCCTGATTGCTTCTGGTCCGTTTCCACGACTCCGCTTTCCACTGAATAAGCTTTCAGCCCTTTGAGAATAGGAAACCCTACCTTTGGGCCCTAGCGCCCGGTAACAGTTGTTCACCTTGAGCGCCTGCGGTGTGTCAGCCACCTTGCTAAGTGCCTTAATGCATTATCTTACATAACTTTCACAATAACTTTATGAGATAGATGACGTTGTTGTTATGTGCCGTCGAGTCGGACCGACTCATAGAGACCCTTGGGTTTCCTAGGCAGTATCACTACGGAAGTAGATTGCCCCATCTTCCTTCCGAGGAGTGACTGTTGGGTTTGAACCGCCAGCCTTCTGATTAGCAGTCAAGTGCCTTAGGCTACCAGAGCTCCCATAGATGAAGTTAGGATCCACATATTCAACAGGTCAGGCAGGATATAGTCCAAAGAAGTAACTTGTCCAAGTCATAGAACTAGTGAAGAAGCTGGTATTGGAACCCAAGTTGGCCTTGGTCCAAGACCAGTGAATGCTTCACTGTGGCACTGCGGCCTGTGGTGTGTGGGTGCTCGGTGATGTAAGGTTGCTTGAATGAGTGTGTAGAGATAACATGTTACAGATCAACATAAGCTGACTGAGTCAGGAGAGCTGGCATTTCTCCTTTACGGGCCCTTACGGGCTTTAGTTTCCTCATTAATAACAAAAAGTGGTTTCAACTAGATAATCTTTGAAGGCTCTTCAGTCATGACTTTCTGACTTGAGAACCAACTATGAACCAAGTGTAAGGAGACAGAATGGAAAGTTCTGGTTCCCATCCTTCAGAAGCATGTAGTCTGGTAGGAGAGCTAGGACGTATGCTGCTTTAGTACAGACACAGGCAGTGTGAAGGAAGAATCACCAGAGTAGTTCAGACCAGGGACGAATGGCCCAGGTGCAGTAATAAAGGTGTCTTTGCAGCAGCTGTATTTGAGCAGTTGTTTTTTCCTGAGGCTTAAGACTTCCCCCATCCTCACCTCATTCCTTTCGCAGGGTTCTGCAGAAAGCCCTAGAGACTGAATTCAGGGCTGACTGATGTTATCTTTATTCTTCTGCTAAACATGCCTTTTCCTTCTAGCCACTGTCAGACCACGGAATGATGTGGCCCACAAGCAGCTCTCAGCTTTTGGAGAGTATGTGGCTGAAATCCTGCCCAAATATGTCCAACAAGTCCAGGTAATATTTGCTACTATTATTTGAGTCTGGATCAAGAAAAGGTCCCAGAGTGGCACAAACAACTACTAAGCTAAATGTTGGTGGTCTGCACTCACTCAGTGGTGCTGCGGAAGAAAGCCCTGGTGATCAGCTTCTATAAAGATTATCATCAAGAAAACCCTGTAACACATGTGGTCACCATGAGTCTGAATTGACTTGATGACACCAGGTTTCATTTTGGTTTTTGGATTAAGAAAGTACCACCTTCTCAGGGCATGTGGTTTCAAAGAAACCATGTACTCCAACCATCCCAAATCTGGGCTTACCCCAGGTGATTCCAGTTGAGACTAGCTGCTCCCTTGGGAACTCTTAGTCCCTTCTTCTCACCCTGTTCCATGCTTGCAGGTATCCTGCTTCAATGAATTAGAGATCTGTATTCATCCTGATGGAGTCATCCCAGTGCTGACTTTCCTCAGGGATCACACCAACGCACAGTTCAGATCCTTGGCTGACTTAACGGCAGTGGATGTCCCCACTCGCCAAAATCGTTTTGAGGTCAGTTGGAGAGTTTGAGAAGATCTGGAGAGTAAGGGGAGGGAAAGGGGACAGAACAGTTTCAGGGTGATAACTGCCTGTGAGGGTCACAGCCACCTTAGTTTCAGTAGGTTCTCAGTATGTTTAGCTATTAATATTTACTGCTTATCTACTGTTTTCCAGACCCTGGGCATCACGAAAGAAGTAACAAGTATCTGTCCTCCCGGAGTCCCCCTACCTTAGTGAGAAGGACACATAAAACAGATTATTATACAATACGTGGGATGGTAGAAGGATGCAGTAAGAGCATGGGAGGGACACACAGCCTTGTCTATGAGACTTCTTGGAAGAGAGAGGAGAAAGAATGTTTGTGTTGAATTTTGTGGATAACCAGGAATCCAGCAATTAGACCAGTGAGGGTGAGGTGGAACAGGATCAGGGGAACAACCCAGACAAAGCCATTAGCATTAGCTAACACAGGCATGCTGAGAGCTACAGCTGTGGCCTAGGACTTTGGAAGTATAGGCAGTCCCCAGTTTACTAAAGAAACCAGTTCCTAAGTGTGTCTTTAACATGAATTGGTAGGTAAGTTGCAACAGGTGCATACATTTCTTACTTAGCCTTACTTTAGTGCAAGAAAAGGCTTGACAAATGATGGGCCTATAAGGTGGCACAGTAATATTAGGAGGGTATGCACTCATTAGAATAGTCAAACATGAGATTAAAGGAACAGCATTTGCCCAGGAATAGAGCTAGGACGGGGGGGGGGGCGGATGGGAAAGAAGGAAGAGGGGAAGAAGTGGGAAGAATACCTTACAGTGTGGGGATTGCAGTAAATGTCCCAAAGCAGAATGTATATGGATTTCTGAATGGAAAACTAATTTGCTCTGTAAAGTTTCACTCAAATCATAATTAAAAAAAAAAAAAGACTGGAAACTTTTTTATTGATTTAAAAGCTGCATGTGCAGCAAGTGAAGGTGACTGATGAATTTCTTGCAAGGACGGATTGGTTCAGTTGTTTCAAAGTGAGGGCACATTTACATAACATTAAAGGGCAAGTAGGAGTTATCTGTAAGCTGGATGTTTGTAACCCAGGGACTTCCTGTAATTGTAAATAAAGCAGCATCTTTTTTTCTTTTTTGTGTGTGATTTGGAGCAAATTCATTTCCCATACAGTTCACATACATTTTGTTTCATGATACTGACTGTAACTTCCCACAGTGTAACTGCTCTCTTCCCACTTCCTCCCCATAGTTACCTCTTCCCTGTGTCCTTCCCTCCCATGCCCTCCTGCCCCCTGAGTTGTCTCCCTGGGCATACACAGCCCTTCTAGTCTCCCATGATTGATCCCTCCAAGGAGTATATCTACCTAATGTAAATGTTCAGCTCATATGCCTGTCTTTTGGTTGGCTGTAAGCCACAGGAGTGGGTTCAATTCCAGACCTGAAAGGCAGCTAGGGGCCATAGTCTCAG